CAGGAAATTAACGTTCTTAGAATTGACAGACAGTTGACCCTGAGAGGTCAAGTAAATATCTACAGCTGATCTAAATATTTATAATTAATTATAACTAGTTATGATTAATTATTCATATTTCCCCATGAGCTGATTCGCTACAGAACATAGGAAGTTTAAACTAGGAAGAAAAGTGGTAAACGTATTTAGCTGCATTTTGTGTGTGTGTGAGACCTAAAAGAACTGTGGAAACAAATCAGTCTTTTTTAAAGACAGTATAAGAAATGCAGCTTACCCTCCAAAGACGAACCAGAATCCAGTTGGTTTGAGCCCAAGGTCTCTGTTCATATGGAGCCAGTAAGTTCCTCATCATAGCCATCCGCCTGGGAGATATTACATCATAAATAATTATACAAATAAAAGAAAAGAAATAAACAGAAACCATGCACTAAGACAAATAAAATATCAAACCAAAGAAATAAGACATTATATATGAAAATTACGTTGTCTGATGCACATTGCAGACAAAAACAGTAGGATATTTATAAAAAATGACAAGCTCCATTCTAATTGGCTGATTTGATCCAATTTTCACAAACCAGGTTGTACAGGTGTTTCATAATTGGGCATAATTTATGAGTTACCAAATTGCTATAATGAATGTTTCAAAACAAACAAACAAAACAAAAAAAACACTAAACAAAACCATCAAAAACACAAAACCATGAACAGCAAACCAAAGCAAAACTTAGCAAAACTAAACCATCGAAAACATAAAACAAAAGCCATCAAAAATAAAACCAAAAACAAAATTAAATCATAAAAACAACACAACAAAACCATCAAAAACAAAACTAAGCAAAACTTAAAGGTGGGGTAAGTGATTTCTGGTAGCCAATGTTGATATTTCAAATCACCAAACCAAACACGCCCCTACCCCAAAAGGGTCTCGCCCCTATTTTGATAGCTCCCAGGCAACGATTAGTTCTCTGAAACAAAGTGAAACCAATGTTATACTGTGTATACACCGAACGCGAGCGGCGCGAAAAAGTACTACAGAACTCATTATAATCAGTGATGCTGTCTACACTAGATGCGGCGCGGCGCGATACGACAAATCTCCAGGAAATTAACGTTCTTAGAATTGACAGACAGTTGACCCTGAGAGGTCAAGTAAATATCTACAGCTGATCTAAATATTTATAATTAATTATAACTAGTTATGATTAATTATTCATATTTCCCCATGAGCTGATTCGCTACAGAACATAGGAAGTTTAAACTAGGAAGAAAAGTGGTAAACGTATTTAGCTGCATTTTGTGTGTGTGTGAGACCTAAAAGAACTGTGGAAACAAATCAGTCTTTTTTAAAGACAGTATAAGAAATGCAGCTTACCCTCCAAAGACGAACCAGAATCCAGTTGGTTTGAGCCCAAGGTCTCTGTTCATATGGAGCCAGTAAGTTCCTCATCATAGCCATCCGCCTGGGAGATATTACATCATAAATAATTATACAAATAAAAGAAAAGAAATAAACAGAAACCATGCACTAAGACAAATAAAATATCAAACCAAAGAAATAAGACATTATATATGAAAATTACGTTGTCTGATGCACATTGCAGACAAAAACAGTAGGATATTTATAAAAAATGACAAGCTCCATTCTAATTGGCTGATTTGATCCAATTTTCACAAACCAGGTTGTACAGGTGTTTCATAATTGGGCATAATTCATGAGTTACCAAATTGCTATAATGAATGTTTCAAAACAAACAAACAAAACAAAAAAAACACTAAACAAAACCATCAAAAACACAAAACCATGAACAGCAAACCAAAGCAAAACTTAGCAAAACTAAACCATCGAAAACATAAAACAAAAGCCATCAAAAATAAAACCAAAAACAAAATTAAATCATAAAAACAACACAACAAAACCATCAAAAACAAAACTAAGCAAAACTTAAAGGTGGGGTAAGTGATTTCTGGTAGCCAATGTTGATATTTCAAATCACCAAACCAAACACGCCCCTACCCCAAAAGGGTCTCGCCCCTATTTTGATAGCTCCCAGGCAACGATTAGTTCTCTGAAACAAAGTGAAACCAATGTTATACTGTGTATACACCGAACGCGAGCGGCGCGAAAAAGTACTACAGAACTCATTATAATCAGTGATGCTGTCTACACTAGATGCGGCGCGGCGCGATACGACAAATCTCCAACAGAAAACTGCTGCTGCATTCTATTTATGACGTATTGACACAAATTTCAAATTATTTTCAATGGTCGCTTTGTCGCGTCCAGCGTAGACAGACTTTAGCTGTTGCGGCACGGCGTCCGGTGTAGACACGGTGTTACTCATCTATCAAGAAGAAACAAAGCAACCTCGGCGTCCGATCACAGGCCTTACACAAAATAATGTTCTTTTTAGCAGCATCATATGACCCCTTTACGCCTTCTTTTGTTCCGCAGACGTTTTCCTCTTTTGTTTTTTATCCACCATCTCTATCTTTCTGTCGCTCAGCTCGGCTAAAATGTCCGTCCTGTGCACTGAGCGCTCTCTCCTCCGCATTAGTGATGTCCGGTTCGCGAACGAATCGTTCAATTTACTGACTGAATCATTTGAAACGGTTCGCGTCTCCAGTAAGCATTAATCCACAAATTACTTAAGTTATTCACTTTTTTAACGTGGCTGACACTCCCTCTGAGTCGAAATAAACCAATATCCTGGAGTAATTAATTTACTCAAACAGTACACTGACTGAACTGCTGTGAAGAGAGAACTGATGATGAACAGCAGCATGTGTGCTGCCAAAGTGTGCAGCGAGCTGGATAACGAACGTAAACGCCCACCGCTGGAGCGGTTCTCGAATCAAGAACCGGTTGCATCGGTTTTCGGATCACTGGTACACTGAACCGAGAACCGTTTCTTTCGGACACGTCCGATTTGAGAACCGATGAGCTGATGATACTGCGCATCCGTGATTCAGCGTGAAGCTACCGAACAGTACATGATTGTCTACTATGACTGACACAGCACGTCTGAACCGAACTGGTTCTTTTGGACAACTGATTCTGTGCTAATGCTATGAGCGTGGGTAAACCGAGGACTTGAATGAAGGGCAATCTGGCGAAACGTAAGTTTATTTGATAACAAATAAATCGCAATGGATTATGTATAGGTGGATTATGGTTTCTGCGCTGATGACAACTCGTTTATTTTCCTACTTTATATCTTTAAGACTTAAATCCTGGTATGCACATCACTGCCTGTTACTGTATTTGGGTGCTTAGTTGCAAAACTTAATTGTAAACTTTTCAGATCATGATTATGATGTTTTAACTGACTGAAGTTATGATTACTGACTTTATATATTTGAATGTGTATTTTCATCCCGGCCCGGGATGATAGACTTGATATCATTATGTCATCGCGAATGACGTCATTACGTTAGGGCATAAAAGAACCGATTTTTTGAACCGGTTAATTGAAACGAACTGTCCGAAACAACCGGTTCGCGGAAAAGAACCGGACTTCACATCACTAACACTCACTTGCATTCAGGGGAGTGAGGTATACCTGCACAGCTCTCACTAGCTGGCCTCTGTTACATATGCAGTATTACCCTATAATGATGTTTTTTGAAGCAATAAATTGTGTTTCACATAGCCAGCATTGATTGCAGTAAAATCCCAAAATACACTATTCTACTGTAAAAAAAATATTACTAAAGAAAAGAAATATTATTAAACACTGTTAAAGTTGTCATGAGCTAAGAAATCAAAATTCCCTTGATCTTTTGACATATAAGAGATTATTGTGCAATAGAAACATATTGTAAGTTTCAGAACTCAAAACTTTTTCATTAATCTAAAAACATCTTATATTGAAGTCAGTCTGCCAAAATGAATGTACCACTTTATGATGTATTAGTGTGGTTAAGCAACACCCCTGCAGAAGAAGATCAACGCCTGTTTCTACATCACTGTCTGTTTAGCCCCACCCACCAATTCACGCACATAGCAGTTAAAGGGGTCATATGATGTTTTTTTAAAGATCATTATTTTGTGTATTTGGTGTAACAGAATGTTGACACGCTTTACTGTTCAAAAAACACATTATTTTTCAAATACTGTACATTATTGTAGGTCCTCTATGCCCCGCCTCTCTCAAACGCTTCGTTTTCTACAAAGTCCCTCCTTCCGACAAGTGCAGTCTGCTCTGATTGGCCGGCTGACCCGGTGCATTGTGATTGGCCGAACACCGCAAGCACTCGTCGGAAATGTAACGCCCCTTACACTGATGTTATGATTACTGACTTTATATTTGAATGTGTTAAGCCCGCGATAGACTTAACGCCATTACGTCATCGCCAATGACGTCATTACGTCGAGCGTAAAATAACCGGTGAACCGAGTTTTTCAACCGGTTTATTGAAACGAACTGTCCGAAAGAACCGGTTCGCGGAAAAGAACCGAACTTCCCATCACTACTCCGCATCATGAGTAGACACACCCCTTACAGCTGATTGGCTACAAGTTTGTTTTGGTACTCGGCTCGACTCAGTTTTCAAAAGTGTTTTTGAAAAAATGCATACTCCACCTTTAACCATAAATAACAAAACAAAATACAAATCTTAACTATCAAAAACATAACATAAATCAACTGGTTCGCTTACAATGTATTTGCAAAGCACTGCAAATGTGCATAAAGTTTGTTTCTGGTCTAAGGTGAGATGAAAACAAGTAATGCAGTAACAAAAAGCATTAATTAATCACTGCATTTTGATGCAAACTCAGGCTTAAGCACTTACTGATCTTCTGGGATCTTCTCGACGGCACGCAGGGATTGTGGGTAACACACGTAACTGGCTAAAGCCTGCATCAGTGAGTCTTTGATATCTGTGGATGAAAATAAAGTAGAAAAAAAAAACATTGTACAATGCTTTTTATGATTCAATTAATTCTTGATAAATAAAATCCCCACTCCGCATGTCCTGGTTTACTCTGAAATATGTTAAGCAAATAAACCAGGCTGCAAATGGCAATTCACATCGTCTTTAAAAAGGTCTTCTTTTTTGCATTTGCATGCATGATTGTTGTATTTAGTGCTCATTTAAAAAAAAAAATTCTATGAAACAAGAAGCTTCAATGATTTTCTAACACCTCAGTCTCAGTCTTTGTTAAGAAAGAAGTCCTTGATCAAAACAAAATAATGAAAAAAACAACAACACTAGAATTGCCAACAAAAGAAGAGCTATCCAGATATAAAAAGCTAGTTGAAATGTAAAACTAATCCATATTAAAAACAGACTGTGCAACAACAGCTGTTAAAATTGATGTATTCGGTAACAGAGCCCACTGAAAACAAGATAAATATGCAAAAACAATCTAAATACATCAGTGCGAACATAATGAAAAGGCTGCTTATGAAATGAAATTTAAACAAATGGGTCGTGTCTAATAACATCTGTTCATCTGCAGAGCACATCGCTCATGATTCAGGAGTCAAGAGTATTTCATAGCCCTAACCTTAAACAGGATTAAGAAAATGCTGCGGCTACAACTCGTCACGTAAATTACTTTGTGTTGCCTGAGAGCAGAGAGAATAAGCTTTTAATTATACCTTTACGTGAGAAATTAAGTGAAGTGATTAACGGTACAAGCCAACGGCTATATTAGGTTAAATAATTCCCATTAAAACGGCCAACGAATTGATTATTGTACAGATTTTTGGGCTGCTCGCTTTTATCTTGTCTTTTCCTGCAGTTAATGGGAACAGAATATTAACTGAATGGATGGATGGATGGATGGATGGACGGACGCACGGACGGGTCCTGTTAATATTGTTGTGAATTTTTAACTAACCCCAAATTTTGAATGGTAGTGTATGTATGCCGTACCTGATGGGGGATGATAGTTTGAAGTAATGTTCACATTTATCCATGGATGTGATGTGGGAGAGACAGGCCACCTCACTGCCCAGCCTGCACCTCCTCTCCAGTTCAGCAGAGCTGGCCTCCCATGATTCCTCTCCAGATCCCAGGCTGGGCTCATGCAGTGTCATGTAGGTGATACTGCACAGAACAGTATAAAAACAATGTGTTAAACACTGTGGTGCTCGCAAAATGTTGCTTTCTTTGTTTGAGCAGTCAAAGATATTGACTTCTGACTTAACCAATGGCATGAGTTTGGGGCAGGACTATCTGTTTAGTGGTCAAATGTATTATTTAGACCCGGGAAACTTGTTTACAATAATCATTATTTTTGCAGTCACAATTGTTGCCGCTAGTCTCATGGCAATGAAACACTTCACCTTTAAATTTAGTTGTGAAAATCCAATCCCTCTTGGATAACTTTTACTATCACTCAAATTAACACATCACTTCTGCAGCTAGGAAGCGATTAATAGTAGGCTAGAATCTGTGATTGCGAAGTACAGTAAATATCCACACCGGTGCGGTGACTGACAGCCACACATTCACCTCAAAACATTAGATTTAGGGATGGGCGGATCGATCCTTAAGTAACTTAGGCCTATCGATACTTTCGATACTGATGTTGTATCGAAAGGATCGATCCTCACGTAAAAATATCGATTCTAAAGTGCATTTTTTAACCATTAATTTTATTTATTTCTCAAGAAATTCAGTGCATAAAATAAGCTTCTAAGTGGAAAAATTACGGTGGCCGAGAAGTGCAAAGCAAATCACAATTCTGAAAACAAAATAACAAATTACAAATGCAAATGCAAGTCTAAAAAACAAAATAACAATTCAGAAAATGCAACAACAATTCAGAAAACATTATAACAAGTCAGAAAACACAATGACAAATTCGAAAACAAAATAACAAGTC